AGCTAAGTGGGTCAATGGGTGCATTCCGGAGTTCAAACCAGGAATTCCTTTGCCACAACTGGCCTCTCATCCTGTCAGTTTTTTCATGATACTACCAAAGTTGTCGATTCCTTTGTCCCTGCGGATGCTTATACTATCTTGGCAATGGAGGTCCCTGATACAACTCAAGATGATTTTTGTTACTGGGCGGGTACCCCTTCTAGAAAGTACCCGGTTAAAACTGGTTATGCTATGCTTCAACAACAGCTTTCTCCTGCATATACTCCTATTGTTACTGACTCCTTCTGGAAGGTTCTGTGGTCTCTTCACTTGCAATCTAAATGGAAGTTGTTCTTGTGGAAGCTGTTACGCCGTGCTCTTGCGGTCAAGGTGGAACTCAATCATAGAGGAGTTCCGATTCAGGATGTTTTTTGTGACCTCTGTCGTGCGGAACCAAAGGATTTACAGCACCTATTCCGAATGTTCTGTAATGCGCGTTCAGTTTGGAGGGGTGGATGCCTTGGTATTCGCTCAGAATTTCATGGAGACCTTTCTCTCTCAGATTGGATCCAAGATTATATCCGACTTTTTATCAGTCAGGATGAACCTTCTGGTACTCTTATAGCTACTTTCGTCGATACGCTTTGGACCTTGTGGTTATGTCGTAACTCTAGAATCTTTAGGGATTCTTCGGCGTCCCGACCTTTTGATTCTCTGTTTGTGGAGGTCATGGATAATCATTCGATTTTTGTCAACTCAGAGAGTACCCGTAATATTGCAGTGGCAGACGGTGATGCCTCTTCTCCGCCTGGGTTTTACATCGCTCAGCATGGCCTGGCTCCCCAAGGGTGTACTTTAATTTCTCTCCCATATAGATGGCTCTTGGTTCAAAGATTCTCAACAAGCTGGAATAGGGTGGTGCATGGATAATGATGACCCACTGGACGATCGGATCAGAGGTGGTAGTAACTACGGGGTTTGTTCCTCACCTTTACATGCAGAGGCGTTGGCATGCCTGTATGGGCTTCAATGGGCTTTTGATTGTGGGTTCCTGTCTCTAACGATTTTTACAGATTCATATAATCTTGTCACCTTGCTTCGTGGGGAAGGTCAGGGTAATGTCGCTTATATATGGCTTATTCGAAGAATTTTACTTCTTAGTTCGCGTTTCCGGGTTTGTAGTATTTATACTACGTGAAAAAAAAGAATTTGGCACCGGTTCAAACCCGGCCTAAGGCACCGGTTTTAACCGGTGCCAATGTGGGGGGTGCCAAAAAGTGGTGTAAAAAGGCACCGGTTCAAACCGGTGCCAAAACTTGAAATTGGCACCGGTTAACCGTTGCAAAAAAGTACCAAAAAAATTTAATTAACCGGTGCCAAAAGTGCCAAAAAAATTAATTTTTTTTTTTACTTAAAAATTAAATAAACTAAAATTAAATGAGAATACAAAATATAAATGGAACATCACAATCAATATAATCAAATCTGTTCAATATTTATATAATAAAAAAAAAATTACAGTATAGTTCAATTAAAAAATTACAACATATAAATCAAAATAAAAAAAAATTACAACATATATAAAAAAAATTACAATATAAATCAAAATAAAAATTTACAACTTCACAATCAAAAAAACCCGTAAAACATCTAAATCAATATACTTCAATTTAAGATCTAAATCCATGTACCTGCACCAATTAAAACAACCAAAATAAATCGATTAAAATGGTTTCATTAAGCTGCGAAAAAAAATTCCAAAAAAAAAACCAGAAAATCAAAAAATAAAAAATAAAATCAGTTGAAAGGAAAAAAAAAACCCAGAATATCGATCAGTTAAAAAAGAATTAAACCCAGAAAATAAATAAAATTAAATTCGATTAAAAAAACCCAGAAAATAAATAAAATTAAATTCGATTAAAAAAAACCCAAAAAATAAATATAACAACATTCAAATAAACCCAGAAAAAAAAATTAGAAATCGAAAAAAAATTCAAATCGAAAAAAACCCAGAAAACAAAAAAAATTGTAATCGAAAAAAAAAATTGAAATCTTAAAAAAAAAAATCAAAATCGAAATTAATTAAAAATTTGATTAAAACAAACTTGAAAATAAAAATAAAATAAACCCATAGATCGAAAAAAAATGAAAATCGAAAAAAAAAAACCCAATTAAAAGAGAATTGAAATGGAAAAAAAAACCCAGGAAAAAAACCTAAAAATCATGAAAATAAAACCCCAAAACCGTATGCAACTTGAAAAACAAAATCAAAATTGAAATTGAAATTGAAATCAAAAAACAAAATCAAAATCGAAAACAACACAATCAAAATTGAAATCGAAAAACAAAACCCAAAAATAGAAAAAAAAAAAAAAACAAAATCGAAACCCAGAAATCGAAATAATTGAAATTGAAAAAAAAAATTCAAATCGAAAAACCCAGAAATCGATTGAAATGGTAAAAAAAACCGAGAAATCGATTAAAATGGGCGGTTTTTTGGTCTTCAATTTGTTGTTGTCTTCAATTTGTTTTTGGTCTTCGAGTGATAGAAAGGAGGAGGAGATCAGAAAGATAAAGAAATAAAGGAGATGGGGAGCAAGAAGGAAAGAGGAGGAGAGGAGAGAGAAAGAGGAGAGGAGAGGAGAGAGAATGGGCAGGCAAATTTAGGGTTTGGGGGGATTTAAATGGGCGGGTTTTTTTTTAATAATTAAAGAACCAGTTCGTAAAGGCACCTGTTCAAACCGGTGCCCTTTTTATTTTTGGCACCGGTTTGAGCTGAACCGATTCCATTTCTCTTTGTTTAAAAACCTGCTCATTTTTAGGCCGGTTTTTGCCACCGGTTGGGCCTGAACCGGTGCCATTTGGGGGTTGCCTATTTGTATTTTTCTACTAGTGTTATAAGGTGGATCGTCACCGCGTCCACAGAGCTCATCAAATTGCGGGAGAAGCGGCGGTTCATTCTATTTGATTTAATATTAATATATAGTTGTTTGTATCCTTTGTCAAAAAAAAAATATATCAAAAATAAAAAGTGAAACAAGTATTTAAAAACGAATGGAGTAATATTTTTAACACTTTTATACACTCTTTTATTTTGTCATTTTTTTTTCTTACAATACCTACTTCATTATGTACTCTTTATCCTCTTCTTAATTTCACAATACCACTATAAATATAAGCGGCTTTCATTAATCAATATATTCACATATAGTCACTCAAACACTATTTGGTATTTCCTCTTAACTTCACGATACTTCATTCCCTTAGAAGCGCTAATACCAATTGAGGTTCTATTAATCGTATAACTAAAATTTCCAACACCATTAACGGTTTTTCTCTGGAAAAAAAATATTAAAACGAAACTTGAAACCACCCCTAAGAGGAAGTTATGCTCAAAATTAATTTATAAATCGACGCATATAAGGAATTAATTTACGTTTTAGCATTATTCATAGAAACCACTTCATTTATTTAATTTTCTTTTGTTTCGATTTTGTGTGATGTTGATTTTAGCTTTTTGATTTTTGATTTTAATTTAACTTCCATTACATTGTACTGTATTATGAGAGTGAGGGATAGCTCAAGTGGTTAGAGCTTCTATCCCGGCTTCAGAAGATCATGAGATCGATTCTCGCCCCCTGCCCTTGTGGCTCTCTAAACACAAAAAAACATTGACTACTTCAGTTTTATTTTGTTATTTTTCAATTTTAATTTTAATTTGTTTCGATTTCTTAATTTCTCTTCAACAACAACGCCAAAGCATTAGTCCCAAAATGATTTGGGATTTATTTTCTCTTTGATGTATAAGATAGTAAGTTTTTAACATGAACAATTTTGTGAGATGGAGTTCTAACATAACAAGCACTGGAAGGTAAAAATGGGATTCTACATAGCGATGCTCCACAGAAGGTACTGCAATATGCAGTCAATCTCCATAAGCATAGAGAATAAATCAAATTCATACTATACTCAAAATAAAGTAACTAGCTTAGATTGTAATTTCGAATGAAATGGTCAGATTTGGAGCTAACCAACCAAAGAACAACGTTTGATTTTAAGTCTTAAACTGATTAATTGAGAATAGTCATGTCGGAATATGACTCGAGAATCAATCGAGGTTTGCTGTATAAGCTAAAGGATAAACTGCTTGTGTTAAGCAAGGAAGAATTGAATTGGTCAACTTTAACTGGGCATATCTCTCAAAGTACTTTGAATTTTGAAATGATTCAAGTTGGAGGTGAAACAGTGTTTCAATAAATTTCCAACGATAGGTCATATGCTTAATTCTAATAAAAAAAAAATTAGGAAGTTACAGGTGTTTTACTATGAGCTGTCAATGAACAGAGTTGCTTGTCTGTGCCAAATATGGCACATTTGTGCAGCTAGAGTTCCAGACAACAAATAGTTACTGGATGTTTGGATTAATTTTTCTAGTCTAGCACGTTTGTACCATATTTGGCAAATATGTGTTAACCTGATACTCAGGCCCGATATATGTTGGGGATATAAATTCCCATTTGGGGTTATTTTGTTATATATTCATCCACAAATTGAGAGAATCACATTGAGAGCTACGGTTCATGTTCTTGGACCCTTGTGCTTTAAAGTGGAAATTAGTGAGAGATTACTCTTGAACACACTAATTGAAATCAATACAATTAACTATTCTTTGTTTTGGATGGGTTTATAGTTCTCAAGTAATTGCTTGAAGGATTTTCCCATATTTTAATTTGTTGTCTCTTTTACTATTAAATTTATAAATTGTTATTTGCTAAATACTTCAATTATCAACCATTTGCTTTACCAAGACAAGCCATGAATAACACATAACCTGAACTAAGAATACATGGAAATATGGAATCAATCAAAATGTTTTTATTAACTAGATAATGAAATTAAACTAGTAGAAGCATTCATTCATAGTCAACTTGTATTACTAACCAAATTTAGGGAGTCTACAATTTTGGATAGATGGCAACAATAATTCAAACAAACTTGATTAAAGATATAACATTATGTCATTATCTAGAGATATGGGCAATGAAAGCGTCCCTCTCTAAATAAGAAATACCACGTTCAGCAACTGATCCTCTAACTGCTTTGTCTAATTCTTCAACCCTTTTCTTCATCTCCATTCCTTTCTCTGAAACCATCAATGTTTTTACTGCATTTTCTATCTCACTCGACTTCACAATCTCATCGCGGTGTTCCCAATCTCTCATCAATACACCAATCCTTAGCATATTGCTCACAAAAAATGAGTTCATCGGTTGATCGGAATGCATAGGCCAAGCCAGAATCGGCACACCCATGCTCATACTTTCCATACATGAATTCCATCCACAATGACTCATGAGCCCACCAACTGACGGATGAGCCAAAATTTCTAACTGTGGCGCCCAATCTTTCACTACTATTCCTCTATCCTTTATTCTTTCTTCATAACCTGAACGAAGTTGAGGCCTTTTCACTTTATCAGCTTCTGCAAAAACATCGTTTGGATCCGCTCTTCGGAGCACCCAAATAAACTTCTCCCCGCATCTTTCCAACCCGTTTGCCAACTCTTCGATTTGATCATCTGTCAATGATGTTGTCGAACCAAAAGACACGTATATCACCGAACCCTTCACTTGTTCGTCTAGCCATTTAAGGCACTGATTTCTGTTTTTGCCACTTTCGCTTTTGACAACAACAGGATTAAACGGCCCTAAGGCATAATGCTTTATATTTTTTCCCTTTGCTGAAGACAGCTTCTCCAACAATTCGACATATCTTCCGTCAATCACTCTCGAGGTGTTGTAAAGCCACCCTGATTCAAACCCCAAACATTTCAAGAGATTCACCAGGAATTCTAGCATCTCTTCTGAAACGCATCCCTCTTTAGAAGGCATACATTCCGGAATATCATTTCTATCTACCTTAAAGAGTTTCTCTTCCTGGGGCATGCTTTCCCATACACTTGTGAAATAGGTGAAAGCACATATAGGAATAAAGTTATAAGCTTCACCGTTTGGAATGAGCTTAACATCTTGGACAACGTAAGCCATACTATTGTCATGAATGACTACTACTCGGCTATACTTTATCGAGAGTTGTTTCATGAAGTGAAACACGGGCTGTCGAAGATGCATTGTAGCCTCTAAAAGAGGTTGCGAGTGTTGTGGGAATGGGTTAGAGTGATCGATATTTGGAGGAGGTGAATTATAAGAAGGGAGTTCGAAGTCATTAAAATGAATATTTGTTAAGCTTTGTGAGTCCCAACCATTGAGTCGGAGCTTAACTTGACGGTTGTGGGAGGCGGAGCCGGCGTAATGGACCGGGATTCCGTAGGTGGTGATGACATGCGAGAGGTGGAGGAGCTGGTTGAGATGGCCTTGTGCTGGTAGTGGTACCATTACCACTACCACTTTTGTTAAGTGTTCAAGGTTTTCATTTTGGAGGGTGATTTTTAATTGGTCAAGTTTTGGTGGTTGGTTTTGGAAGAATAATGTTTACAAATGAAGGAGTCTTGGCTTTATGTTTGTTTGTTTCTGTTGAGATAATATTATATGTAAAGATAATATTTAGTAAATATCCTTAGTTATATTTATGTTAATATTTGATTTGATTTGATTCCTAAGCCTAGGATAATTAGGAATATATTGTAAACTATATATGTACTCGTGAGGTGATAATGAGAACTTGAGACATTGAATTAATTTGACATGGTATCTAGAGCTAGGGTTCAAAAACCATAAAAAAAAATTCCTTGTTAAATTAATCGGTGATGGCGATGGGAGATGATGATGTTCCGCCACCACCGCCCCCTGTTGATCTTGAATATCACCTGGGATCGAGTGATCATTCCGGTATTATTATTACCCCAATTAAACTTCGTGGAGCAAATTATGATGAGTGGTCTAAGGCTATGCGAAGGGCGTTGATTGCTAAGAGGAAGTTTGGGTTTGTGGATGGCTCGATCAAGGAGCCTACTGCCGATTCTTCACAAAGGAAGCACTGGATAGCAGTTAACTCCATGCTCGTTTCTTGGATTAGCAACACGTTGGATGATTCGGTGCGTTCCACCATTGGAGACTATGACTATGTGAGGGAATTATGGGTACACTTATAGCAACGTTATTGTGTTGTTAGTGGTACTAGAGTTTGTCAGTTGAAAAATTCTTTAGGAGAATGTAAGCAGACGTCCACGGAGTCGGTGACGGAATATTTTGGACGCCTATCAAAAATATGGACGGAGCTACTCCAATTTTCGCGAGTACCGAAGTGTTCTTGTAAGCAGTGTACATGTGATATTGTCAAGCAATTAGGTGATATTAGAGATGAAGATTACCTACATTATTTTTTGATTGGCCTAGACGATCCGTATAAGGAAATCCGGTCTCAATTGTTGGTGCAACACCCTTTGCCTCATGTGGACAATGCGTATCAAGTGGTGATAAATACCGAGAGACTTCAGACTAAAGATGGAAAGGTAAAGGAGAACGTTATGGCGTTTAAGGTGGACTCGCGTGTTAAGTCGACTGACAGTGAAAGCCCCTTTTGCACGCACTGCAATCGGGAAGGCCATGACAAAGAGGGGTGTTACCAATTGATCGGGTTTCCCGAATGGTGGGACGAGAATCGCAAAGGAGGAAGAGGACAGGGCAGAGGTGCTCGTGGGGGTAGGAGTGGTGGTCGTGGTGCTAGTGGAGGACGCAATAATACCTCTACGAGCACTACACATCGTGCCAATGCTGTACATGGAGGCGTGAACAACAATAGTGCAGCAAGCAACAATCAAAGTTCCTCCACTCAAGGCCTCGCAAGTGTGACGTCCGATCAGGCTCAACAAATTATTGAATTACGGAGCAATAAATCTAAGTCTCGCTTAGAAGGTAAGAATAAAGTCCTGTGGATCGTTGATACCGGAGCATCTAATCATGTAACAAATGATTTGTCGATTATGAGAAACGTTAAAACAATTCAAAATTGTCCGGTGGGATTACCGGATGGTCAAACAGTGAACGCGAATCAATTGGGTTCGGTTACACTAGATGGTGGTCTTGTCATTGATAATGTCTTATTTGTACCATATTTGAATTGTAATTTAATTTCGGTCACCCAACTGAGTGATGAATCACAATGTACAATACAATTTACTAACAAAATTTGTGTTATTCAGGACCAGTCGACAAGGATGGTGATTGGCGTGGGTGAACGTGAAAACGGACTTAATTTTTTCCGAGGTGTGCCGCAAGTGAAGGTGCTAGCAGTAGATTGTGTGGTGGATCTTTGGCATCAACGCATGGGTCATCCGTCGGAGAAAGTATTGAAGTTGCTTCCACCTGTGAGTAACTCAATTAGAAAGAATAATAAAATATGTGATGTATGCCCTCGGGCAAAACAGTCTAGAGATAGTTTTAATTTCCAGTTAGTGAAAATAAGGCTAGTAATTTGTTTGATCTTGTTCACATTGACTTATGGGGTCCCTACAAGGTCGCTTCGTCGTGTGGTGCCAAGTATTTTTTTACAATAGTAGATGATTATTCTAGGGGTGTTTGGATTTATTTGATTAAAAATAAAACTGAAGTTGAATTTCATTTTCTGAATTTTATTGCCTTGATCAAACGCCAATTTAATAGAGATGTAAAAGTGATTCGAAGTGATAATGGAACCGAATTTAATCATCTAAAGGAATATTTTGTCACCAATGGGATTATTTTTGAGTCTTCATGTGTGGGTACCCCTCAACAAAACGGGAGAGTGGAGAGAAAACACCAACATATTTTGAATGTGGCACGAGCATTACAATTTCAAGGTGGTTTACCGATTAAATTTTGGGGGGAGTGTGCCTTAACGGCTTGTTATTTAATTAATCGTACTCCAAGTCCATTACTTGGGAATAAATCTCCATATGAAATGTTATTTGATAAAATGCCTTCCTATGATTTAATTCGTGTGTTTGGGTGTTTGGGTTATGCACATAACCAACGGAGTAAAGGAGATAAATTTGAGTCTCGGAGTAGGAAATGTGTATTTTTAGGGTACCCGTTTGGACAAAAGGGATGGCAAATGTTTGATTTGGAGACGAAAGAGTACTTTGTGTCTAGAGACGTGAAATTTCATGAGCATGCTTTCCCTTATGGTGAACAGTCGGATGAGCCTTTGAGGTTGAGATTAGGTGAGGAGATGATTGGTGTAGGTAATGAAGATGATTTTGATGAGTTCGAACAGTGGAGTATGGGTGACTTACGAGGGGTGGATATTGAAGGTATGGAAGCAGAGGGAGATGGAGCACCCAGCGGGGGTCCATCGGCAGCTAGCCGTGAGTAGCCCCACCAACAGCACCCTACTAATTTGGGCGCTGGGTTGTCAGCGGCAGCTGGCCGAGAGCAACACAAGTAGCCCAGCACAGCAGGATCTGGTGCTGCGCGAGAATAGAGCAGGCAGCAGAGTGCCTCTGCCTCGAGTGCTGGGAGTGAACAGTGCCAGCAGCAGCTCAAAGCAGGGGGGCAGCACACCCAGGCAGAGTAGTCCGCAAGTCAGGCGGAGCAGATTGTTGCGCAACAAAATGTGGACTCGAACACAACTTCGCAAGATGAAATAAGTGAGGAATTGGGTCGAGGGAAGAGAGTGAAGTTCCCTTCAACAAAGCTTCGTGATTGTTTTACGCATACTATTCGGAAAAATAAAGTCCCATCGTTGTCACCCGCGAAATCATCTTCCTCAGGTACTCCTTATCCTATAACCTATTTTGTTAATTATGATCGGTTTTCCGAGAAACATAGAAATTATATTGCTGCAGTGACAAAGCACGCATTCCGAGATCCTTTAAAGAGGAAATGAAACATGAAGGGTGGAGAGAAGCAATGGCATCCGAGATAAAGGCCTTAGAAGATCAAGGTACATGGACCTTGGAGACACTTCCGGAAGGGAAGAGAGCACTTGGAAGCAAGTGGGTTTACACTGAGAAGAGAGATGAAGAAGGCAAACTGATTAGATTGAAAGCTCGGTTGGTTATTCTTGGAAATCATCAAGAGGAAGGCATAGACTACAATGAGACGTTTGCTCTGGTGGAAAAGATGTCTACCGTTCGTACTTTTCTAGCTGTAGCAGCAGTGAAAGAATGGGAAGTATATCAAATGGATGTACACAATGCCTTTCTACATGGAGAGTTGGAGGAGGAGATTTACATGAAAGTTCCCCCCGGGTTTCAGAAAAACAATTCAGATAAGGTATGCAAAATGAAGAAATCATTGTACGGGTTAAAACAGGCGCCAAGGTGTTGGTTCAAGAAATTGTCCACGGCTCTGAAGAAATATGGTTTCAAGCAGTCATATAATGACTACTCGTTGTTTACCTTGTCGAAAGGTAAATTGCAATTGAGTGTGTTAGTTTATGTGGATGACATGATTATTTCTTGTAACAGTAAATTTGCATTGGAAAGTTTTAAAGCATATTTGTGTGAATGTTTTAAAATGAAAGATTTAGGAGCCGTGAAATATTTTTTGGGATTAGAAGTAGCCCGTAGCAAACATGGATTTTATGTTTGTCAGAGAAAGTATGCCTTGGATATTATTGCAGAGACAGGATTGTTAGGTACTAAACCTGCAGATTTTCCGATGGAGCAAAATCACAAGCTGGCAGTTTTAGGAGGGAAAGAGTTCGCAGATGTTGAGAAATATAGACGTTTGATAGGGCGTCTAATATATCTGATTGTGACTAGACCAGACTTGGCATATTCAGTGCATATCCTATCTCAGTTTATGAGATCTCCCTTGGAAGTGCATTGGGAAGCAGCTTTGAGAGTAGTTCGTTATCTAAAGAAGTGCTCGGGTCAAGGTATTCGTCTTAGATCTGATAGTGCCTTGCAATTAGAAGGTTTCATGGTGTGACTCTGATTGGGCAGGTTGTCCATTAACTCGACGTTCTTTGACTGGTTGGTTTGTGTTACTTGGTTTGTCTCCTGTGTCATGGAAGACCAAGAAACAACCTACGGTGGCTACAAGTTCGCCAGAAGCAGAATATCGATCAATAACAGGTTTGACATGTGAATTGAAGTGGTTGAAGAGAATGCTTCGTGATCTAGGGGTTAGGCATGAGCAAGGGATGAAAGTTTTCTGTGATAGTCAGTCAGCTCTACATATTGCGAATAATCCAGTTTTTCACGAGCGAACCAAGCATATTGAAGTCGATTGTCATTTTATTAGAAACGCAATTCAAGAGGGTCTCATATGTCCGTCATATGTGTCTACAAAATTACAATTAGCAGATATCTTCACGAAGGCGTTGGGAAAGGCACATTTTGAGTTTATTCTTAGCAAGATGGGCATTCGAGATCTCCATGCTCCATCTTGAGGGGGGATGTTGAGATAATATTATATGTAAAGATAATATTTAGGAAATATCCTTAGTTATATTTATGTTAATATTTGATTTGATTTGATTCCTAAGCCTAGGATAATTAGGAATATATTGTAAACTATATATGTACTCGTGAGGTGATAATGAGAACTTGAGACATTGAATTAATTTGACAGTTTCCTATGATATCAATATTTGTGTCGTCTAATAACCATGGGCGGATCTAGGGGGTTCAAGGGCGTTCATTGAACCCCCAGATTTTTTGAAAAAAAGTTATAAGTTTTGATTTTTTTTTTTTAAAACAATTTTTTGTGAAGTAAATAAACAAATATGTAACTTTGGCACATTGGTAAGGGAGTGACTAATAGAGTAATGGGCTCCTCTTGATCATGGGTTCGAGACCAGCCACCCTAATTTGTTTTTTTTTTTTTTTCCCCTTTCGATTTCTTCCGTTGTTCTTCATGAGTTAGTCCATAGTTGGTTCAATAATTTTAGGAGTAGTATGTTGGTCATTTTGTTAAGTTAGAGAGTCAAATGAATTTAGAAGTTAATGAGTTTATTTAGTGGGTTTAATCATGGCATTATACTTTTAGTTTTTTAGTTTATTATTTGTTGTTTGTTAGCCTACATATATGGCTCTTGTATAAATTTGGTGAATTAAGCATGAAGAAATATTATGAGTTCTTTATTTTACTTGCTTCATACTTATCTAATATTATTATTGCTTTTATCCTTTTAGTACGTATTAGTATCAACAGTCTCCTTATTCCTCTACTCCTCTTAGTTATTAAATCTTTATTTGTTTGTAAATTAGTGATAATTAGATTAATTATTGATTTGTTTAATTAGTTTTGATATATTGTTGACGTACAAATTGAATTTAGAAACTTAGAATTTAAAATTTTTACTTGGTCTTTTAATTGATAATTAGAAAAAAAAAAAATCATTGTCAAATTTGTGTTTATTGGGGACTTGGGATTTTTGTTTTTCGTGTAATATTCATTTTTTGCAATATAATTATAGATTTATCATTTATAGAAGTAGTAATGTTTTAGCACGCTTTCAAAATATAAAACTCGAAGAATGCTTTTGTAGGGTTTTTTTTATATTTTTTTGTAACTGTTTAATCCATCCATTTGTAATAAAAAAATTTGAACTTATATATTGAATATTTAATTAATATATGAGCATTGTTTATTTTTTAAGATTCCGAACCCACAGTTCGGAATTCCTGGATATGCCACTGCTAATAACTACTTAAATAGGGATCATAAAGGCAATCTATGACAATATCGTGCTATAATATAAAGTTTGTATTATGAATATTTTATAGGCCGGACATAGGATCTAGATGGTCCATGACAACGAATTTGTAAACTTGTATACAAATTTAGCTAGCTCTTTCGTATTGTTTTTAGTTTCTTTGTGTGGATTTACAGGTTTAACCTATTGTGTACAGACTTTCAATTTTAATTATTAGGTCAAGAATTTATTTTATTATTAAAAAAATAATTTACTCTGTTAAAAAAAAATTATAAATACATGTTGAGCTCCCAATTTCCTTCTCTTATAAAATATTCATTTTATTTCAGCTCATTTCAGTCAATGAGAATAAGCCCTAAGTAATTGTCTAGTTATACACTCACTCTGTTTTTAAAGTGCACAAGTTTTCTAAATCAATCGTTTTTTTTAATTCATTACGCTTTTACTTAAATATATATATATATATATATATATATATATATATATATATATATATATATATATATATATATATATATATATATATAACTCTCCAATAACCCCTCTTATATTTAGAGGTTCAGTTTAGAAAAAAATAATTTCAATTCAGTAAAAACCTAAAAATCAATTAAGTTCAACATTTAATAAATAAATAATTAAAAAAAATTAAAAAAAAAAAACACACACACCATTCAAACTTTTGATTCAATAAAGTCATAATAATAATTGAGGCTGCGCCGCCAATGGCAACAATAAATTTCTTTGTGCGCACTGCAAGCTTACAACAATTAGGAATTTAGGATTCCTTCAACTCTTCAAGTCCAGCCACAACCAAAAAAAAAAACATTCACTGAAAATGGAAGGACAAAATTGCAGTGAAACTGAAAACCAAAATCCTCAAATTGTAGTGGTGATGGTGCCACTTCCCATGCAAGGCCATCTAAACCAACTCCTCCATCTTTCTCACCTCGTTACCTCTTTCGGTATACCGGTTCATTTTGCTGGATCCGCGACCCATAATCGCCAAGCAAAGCAACGTCTCCATGGTTGGGACCATGATAGTTTAACTAAAATCCATTTCCATGACTTCCAACTCCCTCCCTACACCTCACATCCTGCTCCTTCTAAACCCGGCCACTCTATTCCGTATCCTACTCACCTCTATCCACTTTTCGAGGCTGCTGCACAGCATCTCCGTGAGCCTGTTTCTCAACTCGTGCATCAACTGTCAACTATGTTCAGGAGAGTCATTGTAGTTCATGATATTGTAATGTCTTCAGTAGTCCAAGATGTAATATCTATCCCAAATGCTGAGCTCTACTGTTTGATTCCTATTTCTGCTTTTACCCTTTTCTTTAATTTCTGGGAAAAATTAGCTGAGAAACCTTTTCAGCTAGATTCAACAGATATCCCGGAATACCTTCCCTCCAATGAAGGGTGCACTCCACCAGAGATAGCAAGGTTTTCGACAAATCAAATTAAATTGCTGAGGCCGGAAACCGGATGGATCTACAACACATCCAGACCGGTAGAGGGCAAATATGTTGAATTGTTTGAGAAGCTATCACCAAATGCTGAGAGAAAACATTTTGTACTTGGACCTTTTAATCCAGTAGAGTTTAATAGCAGAAGTGGAGAACAAAGACATCAGTGTCTAGAATGGCTGGATGATCAAGAGCAAAATTCGGTGATATACGTATCTTTTGGATCATCAACATCACTGAGTTACGAGCAGATCAGGGAATTGGCAATAGGGTTGGAAAGAAGCGGGCAAAAGTTTGTATGGGTAATTAGAAACTCAGATTCAGTTGATGTTTTTGCAGAAGGTGAGAAGAGAAGACCTCAGCTACCAGAAGGGTATGAAGAGAGAGTGAAAAACAGAGGAATTGTGGTAGCAGACTGGGCGCCGCAGCTAGAAATTCTAGCCCATCCGTCAACAGGTGGGTTCATGAGTCACTGTGGGTGGAACTCGTGTATTGAGAGTATCAGCATGGGAGTGCCCATAGCAGCATGGCCTATGCATTCTGACCAGCCAAGGAACACTGTTTTGGTAACAGATGTTCTAAAAATAGGTACACCGGTGAGGGATTGGGCACACTGTGATCAGTTGGTAATGTCAAGCACTATAGAGAACGCAGTTAGCACATTGATGGCTACAGAGGAAGGACAGCAGATGAGGAAAAGAGCGACTGACCTTGGTCATGCTGTTCGAGGATCACTTGCTAAAGGTGGTGCTGCACATTCAGAAATGTGTTCTTTCATAGCTCATATCACCAGATAATCATCTACCTAAACATGCTTCAGCAAAAGAAAACATGGATAATTCTATGAGGACATGTTTATTCATCAATGAATGTCTTAATTTAGTTTTCTTGATCATGGTATTGGTATCTGGTTAATTAAACTCATAAAATGCCAGAAAGGTTGCAGTCTTTTTTTTCCACATTACTTCTATTTATATTTCTAACTTATGAAAGTGGACCTTAGATTATTGGTACAAAAATAAGGATGTACCTGTGCCTTGCCAAATTCTAAACTTTAGAAACCTACCAAATCCAGTGCTGATGCCGTATTCATATCATCATTGATGTACCATTTACCAGTGCATCAGACAAATCAGCACCTCTGTACCAATTCATTAGACAAAGGAGCTTTTAACATTTTAGCCTTTTAAGTTCTACAGTTCAGGTAAACATTCTTTCATCCAACAAAGAATATTGACTGCATCATATTTATATCACCACTTCTGTGCTGCAGTGCCAATGCATCAGATATCTTAACTTTATAGTTCACGCAGATCATTTTCATCAAAACACAGAATATAGACTGCATCATATTCATATCCCCATCACTGTGCCAATGCATCAGAATATCAGATATCTTAAACTTATAGTTAATGCAGAACATTCTCTCAACAAAACACTAGATATTAGCCATATCAACAAGTTGTAGGTTGCAGTCCTGATGTCCAAACTCAAAACAGACAGCTCTAAGTCCACTGAGGATACTCCTGTAAACAGGAAGTAAGATTTGTTCTGCAACTGTATACAGACTAAAGTTACACAAGAATCATGGCCTGGAATACTAAAGTTTTTCTTTTTCAAACGCGCAAGTTTTAGACATGAAATTCAAAGAGTATTCCGCAAAGATGATCACCATTTGTTTCCTTTGTTACTGTTTTCATGTTCTTGAATAAGAAACAGAAAGAAAATAGAACCAGGAAACTGAGCTAAATTATGCTTCAATAGACCAAAACAACATAAACTCCATTCAATAGAAAACACACAGGAGTTTTGTTTTAGAAATACATAATAGAATAACACAGGCCCATTGGCCATCAAACAAGAATACATAAAGCAGCAGGTATGCTACACGCCAATCACTCTCAAAGCCTCAACCCCTTATTTTAGTATCAAAGGACAGAGATGGGGGAGATTAACTTAGATGATAAATCATATCAGTCCTCATCATGGTGCCTGCGCTGGTGGTGGTGATGATACTTCTGACGACGCTTCTCATCATCATCATCAGAATCATTGTCAGATTTGTGACCCTGCCAAATTTTATACAATAAAATCATGAGTACATGCCATATATGAAAAAATCCAATACATTGTTTAACTAAATGTTATTGACAGGATTGAGATCCAGCCATCTGATTTTGCAGTCATGAGGGGAAGCAAGAATAGATAGAACCACATAAGTTTAGCTCAATATTTAGCATGTTATCCAAAAAATATCAACTCAAGTACTAAACAATTAAGATTCACCAGAATAATATTTTATCCTTGTTATGGCCACATTTTTTTCAACAAGGAGAATGTAGTTTCTTTTGATGTTACTAAATGTAAAATTCATGCATTTTAATCTCTACATTCAAATCATATGACACAAAAAGCAGTTTTAAGCTTCACCAAAATATGTGCAGAAGTGTTTGCTAAATCACAGCAAAACTTTCAAGTACAGATTATATTCTGGAAAAGTCCACTACCAACCAAAATTACTTAGTACTTTTTTCCGTTTCACAATACATGCATCGCTTTGAGGCCTTTGACTTTTAAAACTATTCAAATACCAACTTTGACATCGTTTTATGACTAATACGAAAAGTAAATATCAATATTTCAATTGTTGAAGGTTAATATTAATTATATTTTCAATATATAAACTATTAATTTTTTTTCTACTATATAATAATATAATAGAGGTAATTAATTATCAAAGTTGTATCGTGAGCAAGCTTAAAAGTCAAAATGGTGCATCTATGGACTTTGGTAAAATAAAGTAAGTATATTTTTTTAAAACGTGACAAATTTTTCTAAACATTGAAATACAAAACTACAAGACAAAGGAATTAATAATTAAGTGAAAAATTTGAAAATAACCACTTTAAAAAATCACTATTTGATTTAAACCACTTTCATTTCTTTGTATTTAACCACCTTTAAACAGAACAAATTATAGTTTTTAATTTCAGACTAGTAAATCGTGAGTGGGGCCTAACTTTTAGGTTTTGGGGGGTCATTTTTTCCCTTAAGATCCAAATTGAGCTCGAAATTGTAAGAAGAAGAAAAAAAGCAACAGAAATATCTCATTTTAATTGCTAAGAAATGTAAAAAAAGCAACAGAAAAGCCTTGTTTTGCACAAAAACCATTAAGTGGTGGTAAAAGCTACGAAGTATATTCTTTTTCTTTTAATGGTAATTTAATAGGAAAAAAAAATAAAAAAATTAAGGGGTTCATTTTCAAATAGTGGTTTTTTAAAGGCGGATATTTTTAAATTTTCCTAATTAAGTTGGAAAAAAAGACACAAGGAACCTTGCACATCTCAATGGGTGTGCACCACAAGCTGCCTGGAATCATAGATCAAAGTGACAAGGAAGCAAGGAATAAACATCTCAATAAATAAAAATAGATGAATTTTAAAATGCGGAGAAGCAGCTGAACTGCTGAACTTTAAGATCATCTCAGGAAAGCAAAGAGTGAAGCTGAAGTTTTCACTTTTTTATCCTTGGTGAAAAAGGGCAATTGTATAGAACCTAGCAGAATCACCATGATACAAGACAATGACTTTTAGTTACCACATACATTGACTACGCCATACAAGACCCTTAAATGTTAATCATATAGGGGCTCTCATCCAATCCCGAAATTAATAGCTTAAATAAATATTTGTTCTGCACCAGTGATGGGGCAAAAAATTGTCAGTGTCTCAAGGAGAAGTAAACTAGGATGTTAAGGAATTATAAAGAGAAAAATTAAAAAAGGCACAGCATGTGAACAAGGACATGTTCATTCATCAAGACATTCCTTGAGGACACTCAGTTGTCACCATCCAATCCCATATTAAAATGCAAACACAAGACTAGCCTGAAACTGCTGGTTCCCTCTTACCAAAATATATGGTCCATATCATGATTATAGGATTAGCATTTTCATTCTACATTTAAATCTATCATGTGTTTTTGGCCACTAAGTAATGTCTATTCAAGGCATTCAACTTTGCTATGATACTACATTCATCAATGGTTAACTAACTCTATATTCTACATCAATGCTTTTAAATTTAATACGAAGTAAGTGATTCGACTGAGCTAGCAAGACTTAAATTCTACAAGTAATTGACATTTAAATACTGCCATTATATTACTATCCTTGATCATGTATTATATGCAGAACCATGATCGAAAATTCGAAATCAACCATTTCTTTAAAATGTAAGAGATCACAAGATAGCACAGGAACAACCAAAATTGAATTCACAAACACAAAATATAAAATCAGAAACTTAGAGTAAATGAGCTGCTTACATATTTCTTGCGGCCATAGCCTTCATCTTCATCATCACTCTTTCTTTCATACTTAGGCTTCTCATACTCAGTCCTACCATAAGATGATCCACCATATCCTTCTCCTTCCTCCCTTCCATACTTAGGCTTCTCATACTCACTCCTTCCTCCACCATACCCAGATCCATATTCCGGAGTCGGCGCTTCATATTCAGTCCTCCTCCCATACTCAGACCCATATTCCTGAGCCGGTGCTTCATACTCCGTCTTTCTCCCATACCCAGATCCATATTCCTGAGCCGGAGCCTCATACTCAGATTTCCTTCCATACCCAGATCCATATTCAGAAGTCGGAGCCTCATACTCGGGTTTCCTACCATACCCAGATCCATATTCGGAGGTTGGAGCTTCATACTCTGATTTCCTACCATACCCAGATTCATATTCAGAGGTCGGAGCTTCATACTCGGGCTTCCTCCCATACCCAGATCCATATTCCGAAGTCGGAGCTTCATATTCGGGTTTCCGTCCATACCCAGATCCATATTCAGAGGTGGGTGCTTCATATTGAGGTCTCCCACCATATTCTGAGCCACCACCTATCCCCTCACCTTGATGATAACCAGGTTGGGGAAGGTGGGGCTGATACCCCGACCCGCTTCCGTAAGCGGGAGCGGGTTGGGGTGTACCGCCGTAAGTGATCGGCGGGCGAGATCCAGGGCGGGCATAGCTCTTGTACTCATTCTCCTGAGCCTCCTCGCCGTAGGCGGATGGCTCGGCGTAGGATGAGTAATGAGGACGATCGTAGTCAATGCCTCCGCCATCGCTGCCGGAGGAGGAAGGAGGGTAGCAAGTCTCATGGGAAGGAGGGAGAGGACGGCCGTAGGTGAGTGCTTGGTCGTAACCTCCGCCGTAAGGGGTTGGATCGTATTCTTCGAAGTCATCGCCGTCGTAGTCTCCGCCACCGCTGCCTCTTGGGTAGTACGACATCGTTTCTTTGGGTTGATTGATTGGTAATTGAGATCTTGTAGTATTAAAGGTTTTTGTTTGGAAATTGATTGGATTTTTTGAAGGGTGTATAAATAAATAGGAGGATCCGAGAAATGTGAATGGAGAGATGTATGATTTGAATGGTGCGGAGAGTTTTTCTTTTTTCTTTTTTTTTCCAAAAATAATTATAAATATGAACTATTTTTTGAGAAAAGGGGATGTCAACTATGTCGTGGGCTCGTGGCCTCTACCTCTTTGCTTAATTTAACCACTAATTAATCCAAGCAATGCTCAGCTTTTACAATCAATTAGTCAAAGTCTTAATTCTACTCCGTATAAGTGAAGTCGGCTATATGAATTAAAGGAGGAGGAGGGTTGGATGCTAGTCTCAAGTCTTGATAATTGAGGAAGGTTTTAGTAGGCTAGTGACGATCACTTTAAAACTTTGTCACATCCCTTGACATAACATGATGCTTGGCTTTTTAAAACAAGAAAAATAATTACCTATTTGGAAAAAAAAAATTGAAAAGTATTTTGAATGCATCAACAAATAAACAAATCATTTGTATCCACTTTATCAAAGTTCAGTGTGTTATTCGCCAAAAAAAAAAAAAGTTCAGTGTGTTAATTTAGGGGAGGGAGAAAAGAATGGAAAAACATTCTTTTAGTGGTTATTGCTTTATTTTACTATGTAAGGGCTTGTTCATATTTACTGAATTGAACTGATTGGAGCTGAACTGAACTGAACTGATTGGAACTGAACTGAACTGAACTAAGCTGAAATGAATGTTTTATGAGAGAGGGAAATTAAGAGCTGAACTTAACTGAACTGATTGGAGATGAACTGAACAGAACAGAACTGAACTGGACTGAACTGAACTGATTGGAGCTGAACTGAACTGAACTGAAAATAAGTAAATATGAACAGACCCTAAGTCTTGTTTGGAATTAATACCTTTGTTTTTTAATTAATGATACAATTAAAAAAAAATTATCATCCAAAAATGTATCTATTTTCAAAATAACCACTCGTTTAATTTTTATTTTATTTTACCACCCTTAAATAAAAACTACTCAGATTACCACACATTTTAAAAATTCGGTGAATTTATGTTATGTGAACCCACCCAACGGCTAGTAACGGTTATGTCTAAGCATTACAATCAGTCCTGCCTTCACTCCACCTGCTCATTAAACCAGTTTATTGAGTACAAAATAACCTAATTTAAAACCAAAAGAAAACAACTAAAAAAATCAAGAGCTTGTTGTTTGAATTGCCACCACTACTGATCATCTTCTTCATGTCACCACTAAGAGTCGCTGGGTGGGGCCCACATAAGAGAAATTCACCGGAATTTTAAAATAGGTGGTAATCTGAGTAGATTTTGAATTTAAGGGGTGGTAAAATAAAAAAAATTTAAAAAATTAACGGATGGTTATTTTGAAAATGGATACATTTTTTGTGGTAATTTAAAAAATTTTCTAAAAAAAACAATATGATATATACACTTGTCAATATGTTTATTATCTATTTGAACGAAATATACGAATAAGTGTATTGGTTTGACTTGAACGTTTTAGTTGTTCAAAAATCAATCCAAGCACTTGTTTGGTTAACCTTCAAAAGTGTAGGATAGAAATTCATGGAAATTTGCGAAAGGAGTTTTTTTTTGGCTGACAAAAATATGAAAATGGAGGAATTAGAAAATCATGGAAATTCTTACTTCCCACAAAATATAAGGAATATATTACTACATCCCTTTTGGTCCATCAAAATTCAAGGAAACTTCAAATTCTCTTATTTAAAACCAAACAAGATTACAAAATTCTTAGGAATTGCAATTAGGAAGTAATCTCCCATGTATTATGATTTACTATAGGAATTTACTTCCCATATATATCAACCAAGCCCAAAAGCTACAAATGGTCCGAATGGGATCGAAAATAACCAATATGGTCGAGAGTCCAAATATTAAAAAAAAAAAAAAACAGTTTTTGGTTTAGCTTGGTCCAAAAGACCAAAACCCCTCAAAACCAATCATAGACCGAATTGGTCTTTTTTAAAATTATGAATAACACTTATATATTTTTTTTTTATTTTTGAGACATTTTAAGTTAAAGGATCAAAAGGTTTTTTTTTGAAAAAAAAAAAAGTTAAAGGATCAAAATAGGCATTAAAGAATCATTTTTCTTATACTTATATTCTATTTTTTTTCATGACGTTATTAAAGTATTTATAAGTATAAAAAAAACCTATAACCAATCCTAATTAGCAAGACTACAAAAATAGGCAAAGAGAGCTCTGATAAGAAACCTGTTAATTACACAACGGATTCCTTTGATTAAAAGGTCTGATATAACATGTAATGGATCTTTTTTTTTAAAAAAAAAAAAATTAATTAGAATCATTGTTACAAACATTAAGGGTCTGTTCTCGTTGACTGAACTGAGCTGAACTAAACTGAGCTGAACTGAACTGAACAGAAATGAATATTTTATAAGAGAAGGAAATTATAGGAGCTGAACTGAACTGAACAGAGTTGAGCTGAATTGAATTGAACTGAACTGAATTGAACTGAATTGAACTGAACTGAACGGAATTTCAACGTAAGAGAACAGGCCCTAAATAAGTCTCTTATATATTAAACTAGATGAAGCCCGTGCGATGCACGGTTTGTTTGAATTTTTAAAAATAATTTTTTTTTATACATATACTTATGTGCTAAAATTTATTATATATTTAGATAAAATTCCTAATATGAAAAGATAATATTTTATATTTAATTAATTTAAATTGGAAAATCTCATTCGCCAATTTTGCTTACGTGGCATTTGAATTATTTAATTATAAAAGATTTTAATAATCTCCTATTTAATTGGTTACTACTAAAATTTATAATCCTACATGGCACACTATGAAAATTAGATCCTATGTGGCTCTCTAAAAATTCGGGAAAAAACTCCCCTAGTGTTGTGCCCGTGCGATGCCCGGGCTGTTTATTGAATTTTAAGATAAAATTTTAATCTATATGTCAAATTTTAAAACATATCATTGATATAAAATTAGTTAGGAATTGACGTGTTTTTGTGATGATTTAAACTATGTAGTATGCATGTAATGACTAATAATAATAATATTGGTGAAAAACATTTCTTGACCCGTAACTTGAAATAATGAGTTAATGACCCTATCCAAAATGACTCGTGACCCGACCCGATTGAACAAAGCAATCATTTTAAATGTGGTATATTTTGAACTAATTCCTTCGTTTTAAAAAAATATTATGATGATACAAAAAATAAATTTATATTATAATTTATGAGTATAATAATCTTATTATTCTTTGAATAGAATTATAATTTAATTTGTACATATGAAATATTGGTAGTTTATAAAAAAAAAAAAAAAAAAATTAACAATTTTATCTTATAATTCTATCCAAATTTGATTGTAAATATTCTAAACTAACTTTTTTATCTTACAAATTGAGTTCTATATAACTTTATCCTACGTGGCGCGACACTTGGCAAAAAGTTGGAACTGCCAAGTGTCTATATCTCGTCGTCTGGCTAAAAGTTTAGCTTTATATATTAGTTACTAGTTTTGTGCCCGTGCGATGCCCGGGTTGTTTATTGAATTTTAATATAACTTTTTAATCTATATGTCAAATTTTAAAACATATCATTGATACAAAATTAATTAGGAATTGATGTGTTTTTGTGATGATTTAAACTATGTAGTAGGCATGTAATGACTAATAATAATAACATTGGTGAAAAACATTTCTTGACCCGTAACCTGAAATAATGACCCTGTCCGAAATGACTCGTGACCCGACCCTATTATATTAGATTGTAAAGTATGTTGTTTTAATTGATTAGAATATATTATAAATAATGGATGTGGTGCCTTTTGAGCTAATTCTTTCGCTCCAAAAAAATACTATGATACAAAAAATAAATTTATATGATAATATATGAGTGTTATAATTTTTTTAATAAAATTATAATTTAATTTGTACATATGAAATATTGTTACTTTATCGAAAATAAAACTCTAAATTAACAATTTTATCCTAAAATTCTATCCAAATTTGATTGAAAATAGAATTCTAAATTAATTTTTTTATCCTACAAATTGAATTCTATATAACTCTATCCTACGTGGCGCGACACTTGGCCAAAAATTAGAACGCCAAGTGCGCTATCTCGTCGTCTGGCTAAAAGTTTAGCTTTATATATTAGTTATATGATATGATATTAGATTGGATGATTTTAAGAATATAATTATCTTATAAACTAAAGATCACTTAGAAAACGATGACAAATCCCTTTTTCTATATAATTAATAGAGAGAATCAATAGAGAGAATGTTATTATGCAAGACGCGACATAAGTTTCTTTTGACCTCTTATATATAATCCACGATAAACCTATAAGTGTCTTATGATTAGAGAAATAAATTAAATTGAGAGAATCAAATAAAAGTAAAGAAATATTAGACAATTAGATGAATGTGCTCAAATGTTTATGTGCTCAAATGTACAGCACATAAGAAAATTATGATTGGGCTACGTGTTTCCTTGACTTGAAAAATGAAAAAAAGGGGGGGGGGGGGTATATAAAAGGAGTACACCTCATACATTGATTATAAACTTTAATTAAAGAAGCTTCTTCCTCTCAAAATATGATTTAAGATGCCACAACTGCAATACAGCTACAGATAGGACAAGGATGATTGAAACTAAACTGAAGGTTGCCATCTTTGATTTGGTAGATTTATTCAATAGTTGCATTTCTTCTTCCCTGGAAACACCAAATCAAGAATGAATAGAAGAATAATTTATGTATAATTTTTTTTAATATGATCTTTTAAAGATTAAACAAAATTAAAGACAATGTAAGAAAATGAAAATATAAATGCTAGCTCTCACCTTTCACGAAGGTAAAACATCTCCTCATGTATGGATTTCACACTGTCGTACAATTTCCTTAGCTCAACGTCCACTAACTACAAGGGAGGTAGAGAGTTGTACCAAAGACAAGTAAGAGTTACATGTTGTACTTTAATTCAAAAACAATTATCAATTTCAAGTTAATTACTTAAGGATGAAGAGCTAATATACTATCTATTGTATTAGTTACCTTACACATGCCTTTAGTACCAAAACAAAGGTTACAGGAAGTGAGAGCAACTCCATTTGAAATGCACCTCACATATCACACTTAATAATTTTGGCATTATATAATCTCTTTATTATTAATTGTTTTTATCAATGCAATGTTTTTGCTCATTTTCTACACCATTACACACTAAGTTGGTGATCCTCTAAGCCTATAGTGTTATAGTTTATACTCAATAGTTTGTCGTCATCACTCATATTGCGATGGAAGAAGGGATTAAAAACAAGTAGTAGAAGAAAACAAATAAATATGCTCTGATACCACGAAATCTTATAAGTTAAATACATGCAACATGTGACCCATAAGATCTTATCCAACAAGGAATACAATTGTTATATAAATGGCATAAACAACCTAAAATTGAAGGATATTATGAAAATCTACAAAGCTTATAAAATATGTACTAAAAATATTTATTATTAGTTTTTCCAAAGCTACAATGACTTATAACTTCCTAGCCCCACTTATAACTACCTAACACCTTGGAAAATATTATCTCACAAATTGACAACTAACATTAAGGGTCTGTGCTCTTCAGCTTAATTTGAGTTCAGATCCAATCAGTTCAATTCAATTTAATTTATAATTTCCTTCTCTCATAAACAATCCAGTTCAACTCAGTTTAATTCAATTTTGTTCAGCTACAATCAGTTTAGTTCAGTTCAGTAAATCAAACCAGACCCTAACATAGGCAAATAAAACACCTATAAGGTCCTTATTGCACTTACAAATTTGTTTATTTTACAAGAAACTATAATAATGGTTAATAAATTATGGCTTTTAGTGAGTTCCAATAAATAAGTAAAGTACGTCACAAATTGTTAATTAAAATAAGTAAAGTACGTCACAAATTGTTAATTAATCACGAAAAAAATAGTCATATACATTCATATGTATGTTGGCTTTTTTTTTTTTTTTTTTGTTTAAATAACAAAAAAAGTTTACACTCCCATAAATGTCAAATCAATGGTAAAATTGTTTAAGCATATGATAATTATACAAGCAAACTCATGTAGGAAATGAAAGGGGGAAACTTACATCAATTTGACCTTTACGTGCTACATTGTACCAATCCCTAGCATCAATCCCTGTTTTCCATTCAAAATCAATTAAAATTTTGGATGGAGGATTATTATATGGAGCCCAAAAGCAAGTCATATAATCCCCAGTTTCGGCTGCTGTGAACGCAAAGATGCCCGATTCTACTACATCTTTGTAATGGTAATGGTTACCTCGTGGTGATGTTACCTGCATCAAATTTAATTTATCGGTGTTTTAGCGTAGGTCAACTTCGAAAAAAATTAGCTAGCTCAACGCTGAAAATTCGACCAGGTTTAGTATTTTACAACATTATACCTTTTATTAGTTAATTTCTTATAAGATTTTGTTCATTAGTTAGTTTCTTTACAAAATTTGTGTTTTATTAGGTAGTTTCTAACAAAAATTTCTAATAAAAAATGAATTGAACTGAACAAAAATAAACTTTAGTAAACTAAATTGAAGTGAAATGTTTGAACTAAGAAGTTTTGCAAATAATTCAACAATAAAGGGAGATGTTATATAAATCCGGGTGCACGATACACCCATGGACATTTTGTTCTCATTGAAATGAATGTTTTTCATTAAAGCATCAAATGAAAAGCAAATAATATTACGTAACTTTTAGTTAGTTGGATGTACAATATATCGGAGTGTATATAAAATATTTTTAAAAAGGTCTTGTGTAAAATAAATATTAGTGATACAACATACAAGCAAGGACTATTACTCACTAAAGTCACTTCATATAATTTAACTTTTTTAATTATCTATTTTTGGGCCTATTTTATTTTACTCCTCCCGTCCCATAATATTTGACACATTTTCTATTTTCGTCCATCCCAAAATACTTGACACATTACTAAATATGAAATGGAATCATTAATTAAAAAAAAATAGTTTCCTAAACTCTCTTTGGGACCACAAATCCCCAAACCCAATTAAATCCTACATTTTCACTATCCTCACTACCTCCACCTCCTCCACTTTTTATTTTCTTACATTATAAAAGTGTAAAAGAAAATCCTTTATATAGTAAGGGTCTGTTCTCATAAACTAAACTTAGCTGAACTGAACTAAAGTGAGCCGAACTGAACTGAAATGAAATGAATATTTTATAAGAGAAGGAAATTAGGAGTTGAACTGAACTGAACTGAACCGAACTGAACTGAACTGAATATTTTATAAGAGAAGGAAATTAGGAGCTGAATTGAACTGAAGTGAAAATAAACGTATGAGAACAGACCCTAATTAAATATTTTAATGAATCCACTTGTAGTTTTCTTAAACTACGTGTCCACCCTAACGTCCCAAGTATTATGAACGGAAGAAATAGTTATCAAGAAGACAAGAATATAATATATCTTACCCTATCATTTTGATAAAACTTTGTACTTGTACTTCCTTCGTCCCTTATAGGGATGTCAGTGGGGTGGGTCAAGTAGGAGACCCACTTGGGGCGGGGATGGGTCTCGGTTTGGCGGGTAGTGGGCGGGGATGGGGATGAAAACCATACCTGCCATGGGTGATGGGGCGGGGGTGGATTTTAGGTTGTACCCGCCCCATCCCCGCTCCGCCCCACTTCGTACCCGCGCCCATCCCCACCTTATATCCACATCTATATATCTTTTTAAAACAAAATTCTATACTTTTATACTATTTTATAAAATATTTATGTAAAATAAAATATTAATTATAATACGTAATACACTTATATTATAAACAAAAAAATATGTAATATTAAGAATGATTTTTTTTTAAAAAGTAATCTATATTAATAATATAGGATTGTGTGTTTGAAAGGTGGAGGTTAGGTGGGTTTTGGGTGGGGATAAGACATGTCTTTGGCGGGGATTAGGTGGGGGTGAATATCCAAGTGGAGGGCGGGACGAGAATGGTTTTGAAATTGCACCCGCTGGGGCGGAGATGAGGATGAATTTTAGACCCGCCGCGGGGATGGGGATGCCAACATCCGTCCGACTATCCCACCCTGCCCCATTGACATCCCTAGTCCCTTAATATGGTTCATGTTTGTGTTTCTTCATGGTATTTAAGAAATAAGAAGATTAGGTAGATGCAATACATTTAAGGGTGTCCGTTCGGTTTTCGGTTTAGTCCAAATCCGATCCAATCCGAAATATAATTCGGTTTTCAATTTTCCAATCCGATCCGATCCGAATTTCTCTCTTGATCCAATCCGATCCAATCCGAATTACAATTCGGTTATTTGGATCCGATCCGAAAATCCGAATTATAATACATTATTTTTTTAGCGCCTAATACAATTATAAAAATAAAGCTTTACTATAAATAAAAGTTTTCAAAATCATGATTAAAATACATAGTTCAACGTCAAGTCATTAATTAATTAATACAAAGTCTCTACTTTATTTTATGTAGTATTAAGTATTTGAGTTAAACTTCAAAATATACAGAAATCCATATTTATACAAGCTTAATTTTACAATTCGGTTTTCGGTTTGGATTGGATCCAATTAGGGTTAATCCGATCCAATTCGAAAATCCGAATTTCCAAAAAATCTCAATCCGGTCTGATCCGATTTAAAGTTCGGATCCGATCCGAATTGATAATTCGGTTTGGATTGGATTGGATTTCGGTTTTTATCCGAATTATGGACACCCCTAAATACATTAATAAAAGTAAAAAATAAAACTACACACAAAAGTGGAAAAAAGTACCTCACATGTGCAAAATTCAAGGGTAATTTAGAAAGTATAATGAATAAAATTACAAAATGATGGTATAATAGTCTTTACGTAATATTCAAAAATTAGAAACAAAAACAACATTTTATATCTTTAAAATAAGAAAAGAGGACGAAGTATATATATTTAGGTGCATATCACTTGGAAAATTGAGGGGTAATTACGGAAAAAAAAATTACTACGACAAGTAGTTAGGAGAGACAAAGCAAAAGAAGGGGATGGTAATTACGCGAGCAGTAATACGGTGATTGTCGGGAACAGGGTGACCATCATCAATGGGGCTTATAACCTTATACTTTCCAACTGTCATGGCGTCGTGCTTTATCTCTTCCGATATACATTTTGTTGCTCCCGATGACACCTCAAAACGCAGCGCTTCACTAACATTTGAACTCAAAACGACGCATACCATTACAAGAATTTCAATTATGGAATTGGGCATGGTACTCGTTAATTTCTAAGGTTTCTGTATTTTTAAGGGGCGAAGATGATTGAAAAATGGTGATTTGAAGAAAATCAAGAAATTCAGAGTTAAATTCAGGTTATTCCGTGATTTAAGAAATATTTCCATTTTTATTAAGTGTTGAGTTAATAGTTATTTACCATTTTTATAGGAAGTGGAGTTGAAGTTTTCATCAGTTTGTTATTGCCGTGACCTTAAGGTGTTATGGGCTTTAGGTTCGTTTGCTAATTTCTGTTGCTATTTAATGGTTGTAGTTTGATAATTTTGTGTTACATTAGTATTTAGTATGAGTATAATTTTTTTTATTATTGATAATTGGCGCAATTTGCGTGATTTAATTTTGATTTCATGGTGTTTCTTTTACGGGGCGTTTGGCAAGTGGGAATGAGAATTTGGGAAATATAAAGTGGAAGTGGGAATGGGAATTGGTAAGTGGGAGTTAATCCTGGGCACCGTGCCGGGCCGGGCCGCCGCGGGCCGTGCCTAGCGGGCCACGGGCTGGTTCGTGCCGTGCCCGTCATGCCGGCGGGCCCAGGATTTCGTGCCGTGCCGGCCATTTTCACAGGCCAGCCCACGGCACGACACGACCCTCGTGCCTGGCGGGCTCGTGCCGTGCCGGCCACGTGCCGGCCTGCGGGCTGGCAGCGGGCTGGTGCAGTTTTCAAATAATTTTTATTTTTTTTTTTATTTTTTTTTTTATATGACAACATTATAAATTAATAAGTTTATAATGTATATAAGTTATAAAATTATAATTATAAGTTTTATAAGGTTATAACTTATAAGTTTATAACTTATAAGTTATAAGTTATTAAGTTATGAATTTTATAATTATAAGTTGAATATTTATGTTTTATAATTTGTATATTCAATATTTATATTTATATATTTACTTTATACTATTACTTTAAAATTTAATGTTTATGATTTATTAGTAATTGGTATAATTTTATTTTTTTTTAATATGAATTTACAAATTGTAACAAAACGGGGAAAAAAGGCAAATTGGACTTTGGATGTGAATAATGCGTAGTTTATATTATTATTACTTGAGTTGAGAAAATTGTACAATGATAACAATGATAAAAATCATACAATGATGGTATTAAACAAAAATTGGAAAATGATAAAATTGATATTTTTAAAATCGTACAATATACAATAATTGTCTATTCTTCTTCTCCTTCTTCTTGCTCGTCTTCGTCTTCGTCTTCGCCTTCAAGGCCATCGGCTAGTTGCATAGATTGGGAACTAGCCGAACCCGAACCGGAAGCGGAGGTTCCTTCTTCGTTGTCGTTGTGGTCGTAAGAACGGTCTTGTGAGCGATTTTCCGCATCCAACCAATCTTTGAAACACACGCACATTTCTAGTGTTTCGGGTTTTAGACTTGTTCTTCTATCGTCTAAAATGCGCTGGAAGCTCGTTCGGAGGCGACGAAGGAAACTTGGATAGCAAGAATGTCTCGTGCCATTGCCGCCAAAGTTGGATGCTTCGAGCTTTGTTGTTTCCACCATGCAAGGAGGTCGAGGCTGTTTATCTCATCGTCGTCCATGCCTTTGGTGAAGTCGTAACTCAGGTACATCTGCAACTCCGAGACGTCGCTTTGCGTTCTCCTGATTGATGAATCACCTGAAAACCTTGAAATCAAGTTAGTAGCTTGTGAAAATAAATGTTTGGCCTTCTTACTTACGTTTTTGGATGGTTGGGAAGGCCCTGAGCGAGGAACGGTGCCATATTTGGCTTCATAGACTCTATATAAAGCAAAAAACTGATCCTTCACATTAGTCTTATAGTTTTCTACATCATCGTCAAGAAACATGCATTGAAAGTAAATGTCAACTAACATAAATGTGTTTTCATACTTTTGCCTAGGATCTAATATGGAAGCAAAAATATAAATCAAAGGAATCTCACTATAATATTTACGCCACTTTTTTTCCATTGCTGGAAGATACTGATCATAATCACTTTGATGGCGATGATCAGCGAAAAGTTGGGCGAGTAAGCATGCATTAGAAAGAAAGTTTTGAGCACAAGGATTGTAAACAGTAAAAACAATACGTCATGTTATATAATAACTGTAAAAATTGCATATATCTTTCACAGTTATTCCAATCATCATCATACAAAGCATTTTGTGGAAATTTTTGGTTGTAAAATAATGTTAACGGGCCCTTGTACTCAATTGCCTTTGTTAACATGTCATAGGTGGAATTCCACCTAGTTGGGCAATCGGTTCTAATTTTTATTACCCTTATCTTTTGTTGTTTTAGAAAACTCTTCCATTCTTGGTATCTCATGTTAGAGCTATTAATAGACATAATAGCATCTCTGATTTTGCTGTAGTATGGGTCAATTGCCCGAACTCCATCCTGTACACATTAGTTAAGTACATGGAAAACACATCTAGTATGAAGAGCTTCACCGTCTAATAGTACATCGGTTAAGTTTTGTTTGATAAGATTAGCTGTGTATGTCATAGAAGTTGCATTATCAAAAGTCATAGACATCATTTTATCTCGAAGGTTGTATTCGTCTATTGCTTGCATTAAATGGTGAGCAATGTTAATGCCGGTGTGTGGGTATTCCAGCATTTTGAAATGTATTATTCTTTTTTGTAACATCCATTGATCATCTATCCAATGGCAAGTCACACATAAATAGTGATATTTATAACCACTATCCCAAGAATCGGCTGTTAAAGATACTCTACAGTTAAGGTTACTCAATTCGGCTTGTAACCGGACTTTGTACTTCTAGGAAATTTTTCATTGCGGCGGAACGAACAGTTTTCCTAGAGATTCTTTTATGTTGGGGTTGTAGTGCTTTGTTAATGTAGGTGTTGAATGCGTCACTTTCCGAGAAAAGAAAAGGTTGTTCGGCGTGTACTATCATTTTTCCTAGTTCATCCCTATCCCTCTCATAGTTGTATGTAAAGCCGTATGGATGGAATTGGGAAATTTTGGGCTGGGTTGGATCACTAGCTGGTTTTGCACAAGCTTTCATGTGTCTAGATAAGTGTCCCATCCCGTTTTTGGTAACTGCCGTGAATACACTATTACATGTTTTACATTTTGCCCATTGTTCACCATCTTTACTTAGGACAAAATAACGCCATACCTCACTCCTTCGGTTTTTCAAAAGTAGCATCTCAGTTTCGGTTAACCATTCATGATGTGTGTGATGGTTAGTAGTGGGACTAGTGGGAGTGGCAGTAGAAGGGGTAGAACCGGAGGGAATTCGAGTACTTTCTTGGCTACCTTGGCTAGAACAATAGTTTTGTTGATCACCGATATAATTAGGTGGAAATCGGTATGGTGGTAGTGGAAATTGGTTTAGTGGTGGTGCTGGAAATCCCGACGTATTATATGGCTCATAGCCCGGGGGGAAGTAAATGGGGTCATTGGTTTGACTCGTAATTTGGGGGCTCGTTGTATTTGGTGGTTCCCTAGAACTACTACTACGGATAAGTCGGCCTTTCCCCCTAGACCTAGATGATGGGTTGTTCGATGCCATAATTAACAATTAATTTTTTAATAAAAAGTGGTAACTATAATAATAATAATTAATAACAACAATTTTAACAATAAAAATATCAATAATATTAATTAATAACAACAACTATAACAATAACAATAACAACAAAAATAAATAATAACAACAATTGTAACAATAATAATAATTAATAACAACAATTATAACAACAACAATAACAATTAACAACAATAATAATTAAACAAGATTATTCTAATAATAACAATAAAACAATAATAAATTTAAGATTAGTTTAGATCTTACAACCGTGCTTCAACGCTCCACTAATTACGATTACGAACTTTTTAATTTTTTCCGATATTAGGAAAATAATTAGAGAATTTAAGAGAATAATTAGAGAATTTAAGAAAATAAGGATTATTAGAGATTTAGAGAATATAAGAGATAAGAAGAAGAGATTGTGATTTTGTAATTTGGGAATGAAATGGAGGTGAGTATTTATAGAATTTTTGGGGAGCAAATTGGCAAAAAACTAGCCGTTTTTTAGCCGTTTTTTTTGGCTTATTAAGGAGCTAGAATAAACGGTAACATTACCGTTGGCCCGCGGGCCGGCACGACGGGCCATGCCCGTGCTCGTGCCGGGCCGTGCTTGGGAATTCTCAACCCTGTCCGTGACACGGCCCGTGGCACGGGAGTTGAACTTCGTGCCGTGCCGTGCTTGAATTCGGGTCGTGCCGGGCTGCGCCGAACGGCGGGCCGTGCCGGGCGGCACGCGGGCCAACCCGGCCCGTGCCCAGGTTTAGTGGGAGTTTGTCAAATATTCTCAATCTCTTGTTTGGCACATAACTTGGAATAAAATTAGGATTAAAGGATGAAATTGCAATTTTATCCTTACTGTCTTAAATCTCAAAGACTCAAATTTGATATGTATTATTAAGTTGAGAATCTCAAAGACTCAAATTTAATACTCCGTATGTATTATTAAGTTGAGGGCAATTATGTCTTTTACATAGCTAGAGAACTCCCACCATTTTATTACCTACCCCCTAGGTAGGGTAGGTAATAAAATGGTGGGAATAGAGGGTAAATATTTCCAAGCTTATTCCCACTCCCTAAACTAATTCCCATCAAACAAACATGGGATTATGGAGCTTGGGATTAAATAATCCTATTCCCACCTCATAATCCCACTTTCCAATCAGCCCCTTAAGAAAATGGGGAGACTTTAGAGGGAGAAGGGAAAAAAAAAATAGGAAAGTGTGAATGTTGAACCCACTTAACAGAAATTTAGATGGAATACGGTCGTTAAATTACAACATCGAGAATCAAGGTTGGCCTAATTGGTTAGAGGCTCTCCTTCCAACCTTGAAAGAGGGAATTGATTCTCAAATGGGGTCCTTGATTTCTTCATATGTCAAAATTGTTGGGGACGAAGCAACAGATAAACACAATATCGGAAGAATAATAAAATACGGAACAAAAAAAAAATAACGACACAATATTTTTACATGGAAAACCCCTCCTCAATAAAGGGAAAAACCACGGTCCGAATCTCCACAGACGAAACAACTTCACTAGCAATAATTAAGGGAGTACAATGACCACCACTACAATTACAATGTTAGATACAATGTATTTTAGAATAATCTACACTAAGTACCCTTTAACATTGGTACTTATACTAATCCTAAAATACCCCTCACACTAATATTGTGTTTGTCTCTCGTTTGTTCCTCCATCACTACTACAGCTATTGTGCCGATCTCCTTCACATTGAGATGCACTCACTGTTTCTACCCTCAATTGCTAGCTACTACATCTTACTAGCTCCACTTTGGTGGTGTATCTACCCACACACACACATCAACACACGGCACATCACATATATATACACAGATATGTGTAAAGCTTCTCACATAGCTTTCTACCACATGCCGTCCTCCTTGGCTTCTTCAACACTCCTCACCAAGCTTCTCACGTACACAAGCAACCAAGTCAACACTTGGAAGTAGGGCTGGAAAACCCTGACCCGACTCGAACCCGACCCGAAGTTACTGAGAGAGACCCGAACCCAACCTGAACCGAACCCGAACAACCCGAATTTGACCCAATTTGACCCAAATTTCATATTTCGTAATAATATTAAGTTTTACACTATTTTTAATAGTTTCTAAGCATAACCCGAAATCGACCCGAAATCTGACCCGAACCCAACCTGCTGACCCGAATTGCCACCCCTACTTGGAAGAGCTTGTTCCCCCACACTAGACATATTATGTCTAAAGTCATACTTACCATTTAATGGCTTCAACCACATTGGACTTTAGTCCACAAATATCTTCCAACTGTCCAAATGCAATATGCATTCATTCTTCTTCATTTTTTTTTTTTCATTTTCTTTTCCTTTCTTACAACTACAAATATTATTAGTACAATAATAATACTACCTCCGTTTCCGAAAGAACGACCCATTTGACCTAATTTTATAGTCCCCAAAAAAATGACCCATTTGCATTAAAACACCCACCAATTTGCAACAATATTTGTGCAAAATTAACTTCCCCATATAAAAATTTGATTTTCCATATAATTTTATTACTTTCTCTCTCTATTTTTTTACAAACCCCATGTAAATTTATCTTTTCAATATACTTTTACTTCTTTTTATTTAACTTTCTTAATACTCGCGTAATCAACCCAAATGGGTCATTCTTTCGGAGACGGAGAGAGTATTACTTAACTTTGATTTGGAGAGAATAACCCAACAAAAATAGCTAGTTGTTCATGAATAAACAAAAAATATAGTTGATTATATTTGTCTTTTGATGGATATATCATACCTTACGTTATAAATACCATTTCATTTAAATACCCTCTTAATGTTGTTTGCCATGGATGAGTGGCTGATTTTATGTTCTTGTTTCTGTTGTTGGTGATCTAGGTTGTGTGGTTGGTTATTGACTTGTTGCTTCCCTTGTAAAATTGGCTTTCTCATTTTATTTTGAGGCTACAACACTGAATTTCTCATTTTAGTTTCAGATCTTACAATCGAAGTAAAGTTCCCTAGAAACACGAGAAAGTTATTGCATGAAAAAATTGATACAATTTCCTTAAAGAGTACTAATGTGAATTGAAACCTATCAAGCAATGTAAGTTTATTCATAGATAGGTCATCTTGTAATATGAGCAATGAAAGAATCCATTTCTAACTGAGTTGCCCCACCTTTAGCAAGTGATTCTTGAACAGCTTCACCCAGTTTTACAGCTCTTTCTCTCATTTTTTCTCCTTCCTTCGTAGCCATCAATGTTTTGACAGCATTCTCTATCGTGGTTGATGTTACTAACTGAGCACGCTGTTCCCAATCCCTCACTAATGTACCTGCTTTTAAAACATCTGTTACCAATAGAGCGTTCATAGGCTGCTCAGAGTGCATAGGCCATGCCGCGAGGGGCACCCCCATGCTGATACTCTCAATGATTGAGTTCCACCCGCAGTGGCTCATGAATCCACCTGTTGACGGATGGGCTAGAATTTCTAGCTGGGGTGCCCAGTCTCTTACCACGATTCCTCTGTTTTTCATTCTGTCTTCAAATCCTTCGGGTAGTTGAGGCCTCCTTACTTCACCTTCTGCAAAGATGTTACCTGTATCCGAGTTTCTAAGTACCCAAACAAACTTCTGCCCGCTCCTTTCCAACCCTATTGCCAATTCCATGATTTGCTCGTAGCTCAGTGATGTTGATGATCCAAAAGATATGTATATCACAGAATCTTTCTCTTGTTCATCCAGCCATTCTAAGCATTGATGTCTCTGTGATCCACTATCGTTTTTCAATTCCACTGGATTAAAAGGTCCAAGTACAAAATGTTTTTTCTCAGAATTTGATGATAACTTCTCCAACAGTTCGACATATCTGCCTTCTATTGCTCTTGAAGTGTTGTAGATAATTCCGGACTCTATTCCCAAATATTCGAATTGCTTAGCAACAAATCTATCAATCTCTGGTGTAGTGAACCCTTCACTGGAGGGAATGCAATTTGGGATATCTTCTAAATCTAACTGAAAAGGTTTGTCAGCTATTCTTTTCCAGACACTTAAGAAATAGGAAAAAGAAGAAATGGGAAGCAAACTGTAGGACTCAGCATTTGGGATGGATTTTACATCTTGGACCACAGAAGCCATCATTATATCATGAATAACAATGATTCTCCTGAACATAGTTGAGAGTTGCTGTAAGAGTTGAGAAACAGGTTCATGAAGATGCGTAGCAGCTTCGAAAAGGGGATAAAAATGTGTTGGAAAAGGAATAGCATGGCCGATGTTTGAAGGAACAGGAGGTGAGGTTTCATAAGGAGGGAGTTGGAAGTCCTGGAAAGTGATTTTAGCTAAACTTTGTTTGTCCCAACCATGGAGACGGAGCTTTGCTTGGCGATTGTGGCTCGCCGATCCAGCAAAGTGGACTTGTATTCCATTGGAGGTAATGACTTGAGAGAGATGAAGGAGTTGGTTGAGATGGCTTTGTGCTGGAAGTGGTATCATCACCACTGCAACTTGAGAAAGTTGTTTTGGGTTATTTTGGTTATCCATTTTGGCTCAAATTTTGGGTGGCTGAACTTGGAGTTGGAGGAATGTAGTTTTATAGTGTTTACAACTTGGACAGCACACAAAGTGGTTTGTCTTGATGTGTTCAACAGCAGCCAGCAGACAGCAATTACGCGGTCTTAATGAGTCCAAAATGCAGGTAAGAAGGTTTAACATTGTGTTTTATAATTTTATTTTGGTAGTTGTTATCATAATTTATACATGTGAAAAAAATTGATAGTCGCTTTCTTTTTTTTATCTCACCAATTTAGTCATCTTTTTTAATGCGCTAATCCTAATATGAAATAATTCATCAATTATTGAAACTTGATTGATTAATAAATTATTTTACCTCTAGTAATCATCCATTAGTTATACAAGTGAATTTGTATGTGCTTTTGTTTCAAGTCGCCGATTATTGTGAAATTTCTACACATTAAGGGCCTGTTCTGTTCCGTTGAAATTCAGTTCAGTTCAGTTCAGCTCATTTCAGTTCAGTTCAGCTCAACTCTTAATTTATGTCTAATGATATTGCTAATGATATAAAGCCAAATTTCATTCTTTTAAGCTCTTATTACAACGACAACATCAACAAAAACAACAACAACAACAACAACAATAATAATAATAATAATAATATTATTATTATTATTATTATTAACAATAATAATAATAATAATAATAATAACAATAATAATTTAAATAATAATACTAATAATAATCATCAATAAATAATAATAATAATAAATAGTATATGTGTTTAAAATGTTTAGAGGTTTCAAGTTTTTAATATATTTTCCATACATTTTATAATTATAATTATATAGTATAGTTTTCGTAAATATTTTAATGTGTACATTTGTATATACAAATATGTATAGTAATAAATAATCAATAAATAATCAAAGATCACTAATCTGTAGTTAAAAATCACTAATTAATAAGTTCAGTTCAGTTCAGTTCACCTCAGTTCAGTTAAGTTCAGTTCAGCTGAGTTCAGTCAATCGGAACAGACCCTAAGTTTTTGTGTCGGTGTCTTTTCAATTTCTCATTGGACAAAACTTGATGCTCTAGAGAAGATATCTTGGATCATAGGTCATATAATATACGAGTAATAAATTAATATTGATATATGATATATGTTGATAGAGATGTATATAATGAGCTGAAAGTGGAAATATTAAGTTAAATCAAACATTAATTGCACCGATTGATGTGTGATTTTGTCACATATGTCTAAACTAATTCTAATTAGGACATTTAAGATCTTATTATAATGATTAATGATAAAAGCAGAGCCATGTGGACAAACATAAACCAATAATTCCATGTGCTTGTTATCTTTTGGAAATCTAGTTTTATAATATATGGTTGTGACTTTTGTCGGTTGTAATATCTTAATTAGTTTATTACTCCCTCCATCCCTTAATACAAAGCCTCTTTGTAGCATTTATTACTCACGTAATAAAGAGAAAGAGGTTTTGTATTAAGAGATGGAGGGAGTATCTTGTTTTATAAACCTATCATGATAAACCTTGGAGTTAAGTCTAACATGGTAGCTGGGGTTGATAAAAAGTTGGGTCATAGGCTTCGGTCTATATGTGGTTGTTTATTTGCTGACAATTCTCGCTTGGCCATGTTACCCCCGTCTGCTGGGGTTGGGTTTGTAATATTGTATTACATGCTAGCTGCTCTTGCATGTGCTGGAGTTTCTCCTTCTGAGCAATATCCTATATCAACATACCCCTTCATTCTAAAATAAATGCATTAATAAATACTCTTTCAATGCATGCTTCAATATAATTTTTTTACTAATGTATATAAATAAATCCTACCTCCTTTTGAAAACTGATACAGTCAAACTTAGTACGTATGTCAACGCATTAGTTTGTTCCTTAGTATATTTTGTATATAATTGATTATTAGAAGTATAAAAAAATAATAAAAAAACTTTAGTCAAAATTAGTACTCTGTATATAAATAATGCAAAAAGTCAAAATGCGAATATTATTTTAAATTCGCTATAGATTCATCTTATTGTATAACATATCTACTTTCATAATTTTTACTACTCCGTGATAGATAAGTAGACATTAATGATCAATCTTGTGCATTAGTAAGTGTGTTAGTCAAACCAATGCATTTATTTTGGAATGGAAGAAATTTAAGCATTGTGACAGCACAAAGGATTTCTTATTGGTTGTTTCTTAATTATCAGTATTTTAGTGCTTTAAAAAAAAGAAAAAGACTATATCTATATATATATATATATATATATATATATATATATAGGGGAAGACTCTCGTGAGAATTTTTCTTATGTGAGAACACTCTTTATGTTCTAAATTTTTACTCGTATGTTCTAAATTTTAAATATGATGTTTTAAACTTTTTTTTAGGTGTTCTAAATTAAATCAAATGTTCTAATTTATTACTCACATGTTCTAAACCATAAATTAGTTAAGCTTGATGTCATAAATTTTAAATAACTTGTTCCAAACTTTTAACTTTTATGTTCTAAATTTTATATGTTCTAAATTTTAAAACGTGTGTTCTAAGATTTTTAATTATATGTTCTAGATTTTCTAAGATTTTTAAATTATATGTTCCAGATTTTAAAGCGTATATTCTATTTTTTTTACTCGTATGTTCTAAATTCTTTACTCACACTTTCTATATTGAATATTAGTTTGTTCTAAATTTTTATTCACATGTTCATCATCTTAAATCAAGTGTTCTAAATGTTACTCATATGTTTAAAATTTCATAAAGCAAATTTTATAAATTTTTAATCACTTGTTCTAATTCTTAAATCAGATGTTCTAACATATTACTCACACAAATGTTCTAAATTATTACTCATATGTTCAAAATTTTAATTTGAGTCACATGTTCTAAATTTTAACTCGTATGTTCTAAATTTTTATCCACATGTTTTAAATTTTAAATCAGTTCTCATATAAGTATGAATTCTCACATATGGACCTATTCTCACCGGATCCCTCCCCTATATATATATATATATATATATATATATATATATATATATTCTATTGGAACTCAATATTTTGGGGATCAAATATTAAAGAGATAGGACTGAATATGATGTACTGAGTTAACAAAGTCTGTTTGATTGCTTACAAGTTACAACAGTAAACATTTGCAAATCTGGTGAATTTCTGAAAATTGAAATTTAGGAAGACATGGCACAAATGCACGATTATCTCATAGAGACTGCCCAAATCAACTAAGTGCTGCATTAAAACTATGAACAGATCCTCTGTAATCGAGAATCCTGCATTGAACAAATCAGTTCATGATACTCATCTTGTGATATGGGATATGAAGGAGTCCATTTCTAACCGAGAAGCACCATCTTTAGCAACTGATGCCTGAACAGCATCACCTAGTTCTGCAGCCCTTTTCCGCATTTCCTCTCCTTCCTTTGATGCCATCAATGTTCTCAACACGGTGTCTATAGTAGTGAATGGCACCAGCTCAGCACGGCGTGTCCAATCCCTCACCAGCACACCTATTCTTAGAACATCAGTCATGAAAAAGGCATTCCTTGGTTGGTCAGAATGCATAGGCCACGCTGCGACTGGCACTCCCATGCTGATGCTCTCCATAGATGAGTTCCACCCACAATAACTCATGAACCCACCTGTTGACGGATGTGCTAAAATCTCTAGCTGAGGTGCCCAGTCTTTTACTACAATTCCTCTGTTTTTCACTCTATCTTCGTACCCTTCGGGCAGCTGAGGCTTCCCAACTTCACCACCTGTGAAAATATCTCCAGTGTCCGCCCTTCTAAGCACCCATATGAACTTTTGTCCGCTTCTTTCCAATCCTAATGCCAACTCCATGATCTGCTCATCTGTCATTGATGTTGTCGATCCAAAAGAGATGTATATCACCGAAGCTGTCTCCTGTTTGTCTAGCCATTCCAGGCATGTATGTCTATATTTTCCGTTTTTGCTTTTCATTTGCACTGGATTCAAAGGTCCAATTGCAAAGTGCTTCATCTTATTATTTGTTGATAGCTTCGCCAACAGTTGGATGTATTTACCTTCTACAACCTTAGACGTGTTGTAGAGTCTTCCTGACTCTAATCCTAACATTTTTCGGTTTTGGATCATTATGTTTAAAATCTCAGGTGTGAAGCACCCGTCATTGGAGGGAAGAAATTTCGGAATATCTGAGTCTAAGGGAAAAGGTTTCTGCTGTAATTTTTCCCACGAATTGAAGAAAAAAGTAAATGCTGATATTGAAATGAAGGAGTAGGTTTCAGCATTTGGGATGGAATGTACGTCTTGGACAACAGTAGCCATCAAACTATCATGAACCACAACAACTCTACTGAACTTGGTTTTAAGTTGCTGTAAGAGTTGGCAAACAGGTTGACGTAGATGTAAAGAAGCGTCGAAAAGTGGTTGCAGGTGCCTAGGAAAATGGTTGGAGTTGTCCGGGTTGGGAGGAAGGGAGTCGTAAGACGGGAGTTCAAGGTCATGGAAATGGATTTTGCTCAAACTATCCGCGTCCCAACCTTGGATGCGGAGTTTGGCTTGTCGGTTATGAGTGGAGGATCCTGCATAATGTACTGCTAATCCGTAAGAGGTCATGAGGTGAGAGAGGTGGAGGAGTTGGTTAAGATGGCCTTGCGCCGGAAAGGGTACCATCACAACCACCACTTCGGCTAGTGTGCGATTGAGGCAACTTTGCTCCCTGCCTTCACTAGAATTGTGGCCTTCCATTTTTGGGTGAGATTGCTGGAACTTTACAAGATTATTTTGTTGGCTGTTTTTGTTGCCTTACATATATTGTGAGATTGCTGGAATTTTACACATAGTATTAGTCAATAATATAGTGGGGTAGACAGTGGAGTCATGGTGGATGATCTCCACAAATCTTTGTACAGTAGTTTTCAAAACAAACAAGGACTGAAACTCTACATGTTCTCTGATTTGCTCCTCAAGTTGTGTACTTATTACTTTTTCTCACTCAATCAACTAGTAAACGACCACTATTCAAACAAAAAAAAAAAAAAAA